TTTCCATCAGTTATTGAAACTTTGTCATTTCACCCCTGTTCTAATGACCATTTCAGTAAATGCCCTGACAAGCCGGTTGAGCCAGACTAATCTTTCGCACCAGGGGAATTCACTACCTGTACAGGTAAGTCCCAATTTATGTTTACACATGTGTATATAAGTAGTTTCCATCACGACGCTCATAACGCTTATAACATTCCGTCTTCCTCTCGGATAGCGCAAAGCTTCACAACCGGCACAGGGTGCAGGTCTATCCGACGGAATGCGAACCCTTCTCGGTAGTTCCGTGTCGACACCAGTCGATCATCCACCGGTGGCACTGTCTTTCTCTAGCGAACCGTTGGAGATCGAATTGAATAAGGAAGCAGAAGATGAGGTAGGTTTTCTCTGTCCCACTTCTTTTTCATTCCCTTAGTATTCTGTTAGGTAGATCGTTACTTGACCGTGTCATTAAATTTAAACTTTATTTCTCCATTAGGCAAAGCCATTCTTCCAAAAGCTGGTCGTGGGAAATGGTCCGCCAGAGGATCTTTTCAAAACAATTTGTGAATACGCAACTCAAGGTAACCCGGCGCAACGACGGCTTTTAGATTCCATACTTCGAATGCTCGCCGACGAAGTCATACGGTTCCTTCAGGAGTATCCAGATCATCTTTTACCCCACATTGCAAATCTCTACGGCAGTATCCTAGCTGCGAGCACTCATCTGTGAGTAACTTTCATTGTTCTGCTTTATGCCCAGTCTTTCCTAGACAATGCATGTTTTTCACCCACCTCCTTCCGACCGGTATAACAAATTTTGCTTCGTGTCTGTTTTAAATTTCAGTTTATCAATTCGTGCTCTTTCCATGCTTTGGCGCGCAGTTCTCGCCCGTCTTTACCTTTTCCCTCCGGATACATCAATGGAATTGCCCTTATTCCGAGCAGTTGTGCTTATTTTGATCAAGGCCAAAAACACGTAGGTTTTTATTGATTAACTGTTTGTGATTGGATTAAAATTTTCTTATCGATGTTCATTGGAGGTAATTGCTCGCTTCGTTGCTACTTTCATATAAGTGTATCTAACCTCACTGCTGATTCGCTTGCCATTTGTTTGTAATGGATGTGTTTGGTTTTTCATCACACTAAGTCGATACAATATTTTCTCCACTCAGGTTCACTCAGTTCTACAACCTCCCGAACTGTCTCATCAATTGTCCCGTGTTTAAACAATTCCCCCATGAACTTCAGGAGGTAAGTTATAATCTATTTGAACAAGCCGCAATTATCTTCTTTCTACTCAATCACTATTAAACCTCTCTTTCTCCTATCTCATTCTCCCATCCCCGACTCTTGAATCACGAACACAGTATCTTCTAAACGCCGAAATGGTCGTCCTTTCTCATCAGTCTACCTCCTCCGGAACAAGGGTAAGGCGTTTTACATTTTTCTCCAACTGCTTACGCCCGTTAATCGACAGCACTTCACTGATTGCCTACCTTTCTTGTACCTTTCAGTCCGGTCAGTTACACGGTCCGCATCAAGCCCTTTCCGGTTCTACTCCCGGTTCTTCCACGCAGCTGAGTAGCATGAATTTCACCGCTGCCCCTCCTCCGCAATCGGATTTAGTGGTCAGACCACCGGATCCGCCCGAGGAGGCCGTGTCCGATCGAATCTCCTTCCTTTTCAATAACGTATCCAAAACCAATGTGAAAGAAAAGTCCACAGAGTTGGTTGAATTACTTCTATCAGACGAACGTATTCAACCGTGGTTCGCGTTCTATCTTGTTGGCAAACGGGTCCCCGTGGAACACACATTTCATGACCTGTTTGCTCTCGTTCTAGACCACATCCAGGATAAGGTCCCAAATGTTCGCCCCAAGGTTATGCAAGAGTTGCTCCGCAATATCAAGGTAAGGTTTCATTCCGCATTGAACTTGCCCCAATAACCGAACGTTTTTATCTGCACCATTCTGAAGCGTGCAAGGTGCTAACGCGCTATAGTACAGTTAAATTGTCCATGGAAGTACAAAGCGACAGCAACAACAGCATTACTGATTAGGTACTGCTCTACTTTATCTCCTGAATGGTTGCAAGTACAACTCCGCGTCATTATCCTTTGTCCTTTGTTTCTTCGGGTCTATGATGATTGATAATCAAACTACATGCGCACAGTGTTGACTATTCACTCTCTGCTGAGAAGAGAATGAAGTATTGCATAACTTGGTTGGAGTCAATGTATTTGCGATTTGGACTTTGGCGTCTAAAGTTCGACTCTTGGTTCCGCTGTTGTTGTCGATCTCACACATCCTTGCGTGGTTCTCCACTCCAATTTCAAAAGTCTCAAGTCGTTACGTTTTATCTTGAACTAGTAGGTATTCAGGACTGTAGAGTCCGCCCTTCCTACTGTTCGCACTGGTGTTTAAAATCGTGCGTCTTCGTCTTTGTCTATGAAGATCTTGAATTCTGCATGAGGTGGCCATTGATTGAAAACTGTGCGATTATACGGTAAGAGACAGTCATTGTGTTACGATTGACTATGCGAACTGGAACTTCATGCGTAGTTGGCTCCGTGCGATTCCCAGGCACTACTTGCAGATTTCATTCTACCAACATTTGGTCGAATACTCTGTTTTTCACCCCACGTAGCCATTCAGTAATACAAGCAATAAATATGAGTATTAGTACGAATTTGCTGTAGTACGCACCCATCTTTATCAGTTCGCTAAATAAAACGTTCCTCGAGGAGGTTACTACTACCTGTACTATCTCCGTATATCAATTTGTTTTTGTTTGTGATTGCAGTTGATATTGCGCAACATTCGCCTGGACCGAGATGATATGCAAGCACGGAGCACTTTGAAGAACTTGGGCAGTTTCCTTGGCTTAGTCACACTGGCCCGCAACAAGCCGTTGCTTCATGACGATCTAAGTGTGAAGGACTTGATATACGAAGCCTACCACAAAGGTCCCATTCCGACCCAATATGTGGTGCCCTTCGTGGCTCNGCGTAGTTCGAGGTGCAACGGAGAGTATAGTATTCCAACCGCCCAATCCATGGACAATGGCAGTGCTGAAAGTTCTCCGCGAGTTATACGATATGCGAGATGTAAAGGACTGCTTACGATTTGAGGTGAGATGAAGCAAATTGTGTCATATCTCTCTGCACCACATTCGCTTATGTCGAGCCTTCCTGATATACTTCTTTCTGCATTCACAGATTGAAATTCTCTACCGAGCGTTTAAACTGAACTTGGATGATGTACAGTTGGCCTACTTCCTAAGAGATCCAAGTCATTTCAACAATTTGGAAGTGCACCTTTGTTTTCTTGTGACTGGTTCCGCCACGACGTCTTCCACCGGTCTCGAAACCACCACCATATCTATGGCTGGCACTGTGAGCGGTTCGGAGCCACCAGGGGCCATTACTACAACCAGTTTGTCAAATGTTACCGATATAGTATCAGTTTCAAATAGCTTGACATCTCAACAACAACAACAACAACAACAGCAGCAGCAACAAATGCTCACAATGTTGGCCGCACTTCAAAAGCAACAAATAACACCGGGTTCACAGGTAAGCACGCTAGAGTGAAATGTGAACATTAATTATAATCACGTTTAAATCATTTCTTTCGGTTGGTTGAACGATTTTCTTCTCACGCTGACTAGAACACAAATGTGGATTTGGCAAATTTGATGCAATCCTCACTGGCTCCTTCGGTTGGGAACGCTGGAAACCGTTCACAAGCTTCTCATACCCTTGCTCTGGCCGCCGCAATGGCCTCTGGGCAGTCTCAGAAGCAACTCACCCAAACCTCACAACCAGCCCAAACACCGCAACAACAGGCTTTCACCTCAGGTTCCACTGGGGCTGGAGGCACTACGTCAGGCTCACAACCTTTGGCTCTCACCCAACAACAGAAACAACTGGCTGCTGCAGTGGCTGCCTTTCAACAGACTCAATGGCACAGCCAACAGCAACAACAACAGCAGCAATCTGGCATATTGCCTGCTGGTCCTGTTACGTCACAATATTCCGGTGTTTCCGCACCATCTGCCCAACACATTCCTGGTGAGTGCGATGTTGTAGTTTACAAAGTCATTTACTGTTAGTTTGTTTGTTGTGCCGCGAGTTACTCACGCTTTGTTTTCGTCTATGTCTTTCGTAGATTCGGCAAACGATGTTGCATTGCGTTACGAGGAAGTAAGTATCCGCACTATTCGTAACTGTTTGAACATGGATGAACTGATTGCAGCTGCAGCCAACAACCGCTCTGGGGGTCCCGCAAACAATGCAGCGACCGCGGCAGTTGCTCTGCTGCAAGCCAATCCACGTCTGCGTGGTCTGATCGAGCCGGCCGTCACACGGGCAATCAACGAACTGACTACTCCGGTTTTCGAGCGATGCGCGCGAATCACAGTGACAACTGTAGCTGCTATCGTGCGTAAGGATTTCGCACTCGATCCTAATCCGAGTAGAATGCTTTTCGCCGCACGTCAGATGGTTCGTCATCTAGCCGCCGGCATGTCCTTGACAACGGCTCGCGAGGCCCTAGGCATGAGTTTGGTGACAACTTTAAAAAATATCATCCTAGCCGAAGTGCAATCCGCCTCTGGTCAAGAGAAAGAAGCTGTACAGCGTTTGGCTCATTTCCTGGTAGCGGAAGCTATGCACGCGTGTTTGGCATTTATGCAAAAATCGGTAGCCGAAAAAGCCGTGAGTGACGTAGAACAAAAGTTGGAACCGGATTTGAAATTGCGAGCCGAGATGAACTCGCGTCGCTTTCTAGAGCAGGCTACTAGTCAGCTTGCTGCGCAACAGGCCAAGCTTCCGGAGCAGCTGAAACTCACTGTAAGCATTACTATGTAAACCCCTATTGTATAACTATGTTACGTGCTGATGAGTTAATTATCATGGTTTATGCCTAATTTTATTTTTAATTCTTTGGAAATTGTCGATTGTTTCGACTCCACTCAATCCTTAACCATGGCTGTTAGCCTGTGGCACTTCCTTTGGTCCCGTTCATGTACCTAAGTGTTTCCAATATTGAAGCAGTGAACTGAGCGCTATCCTGTTCCTCAATGGAAAGTAAGCAAAAAGGGAAATAATCTGTTCCTCTGGTACAAAAATCACTCCGGTACTGTTTTCATTTATTTTAGTCATACGTGTAAAGTCCACTTTCAATGCTCACGCTATAGGCAAGTCGACTCGGTACGTGCAAATAAGCCGATTACGGTCGACTGCTTCTGATAGAAGAACCACTCAGATTTTCACACGAAACCTGTTAGTATTGGAGTTGATCAACCCAGCCGCATGCAATCGGGCTTCTAATTGCGTATGGGATGGTTGAATATACCGTATTTAGCGACAACCGGTTCACCAATGCAGATATCATCAAGATGAAAATGAATGTGATTCCTCTCCCTTCTTTCTCGAAAGCCGATGCCTCGAACCATAACACAAATAGGAATAGATTGAACTAAACTCAAGTTTATGATGTGCTCTCGTCTACATTTCTGGACTAGATGAGGTCGATCTTTTTGTTTTGCTTACAATTTCCAAATAGCAACACAACAGATAGAGGGTCAAGTGTTTACCAGCTTTCAATGAACGGAATCCTATTACAATATCAATCGTTCGTTGTACATTTCCTCTGCGTAGAATTCCTTCCTTCCAGTTCCGTTTTAGACCAATCTGGTTAATTTCCCCAAAAGTCACCTGAATACTGTTTCCACCTTATTTACCTATAATATGCTCCTCTGTGGTGCTACCCCTCGTCTTAGGAGCGCGTCTCTGAAGTGGGCAGGTGCTCATCGTCATCAGGTCAACACGCTTTGGGTTGAGGCTGTTGTGGATCGTAAATCTCCTTGGCATGTCCATTGGGTGCCATTATCGTCATCGAATATGGTCGGTAGCCACTTACAAGTTGTCCAAGTCGGCTGCTGTTGGTTGATTGGTAGAATGTTTCCGATCCGTTTATCTGTATATTCAATGTAATACCTCTTTTTGTTTGGAAACTTGTAGTTGGAATTCATGAATGTACGTGTTATCTCATCTCTTTTTGACTGGCAACAGATACAGAAACTTGATAACCCATTAGCAATACGTTACATGGTCTCTTAGTAATTGTGTGGACACCGTGCGGTGTTTCTGTGCTCCGTTGCATTACAGGTTGGCGGACCCACACCGGCTGAAATGGCTGTCTATGAAGAATTCGGACGCGCTATTCCAGGTTTCGCTTCGTCCAATTCATCCAGCTCAGCAGCAGCTCCGCCTGTCAATCCGGCATCCATGATGCAACAGCCATCGTCACCGAATGCGGCCGCTGCAATGGCCGCCTATTTACAACAGCAACAGCAGCAACAACAACAACAAGATTTCGGACGTCTTCAACGACAGGTGTCTGCTCCTAGCACCGGTTCAGCTGTCATGATGCTCAAACCACTCATGAGCCAATCACACTTAACACAAGCTACAGCGCAATCGCACCAATTGATGCTCCAACAACAACAACAACACCAATCATCACAACAGATATCTCAGGTAATTTTATATTGATGTTCATTTTTATGGATTCCATTCTCGGCTGTCGGACTTGTTTTGGTTGCTCGGAGTTTGGCAAGGTTTTGATGCAACTCCATTGGAAAGCTTCTGTTACTCAATTGTATCAAGTGATGGTCGGCGTGGCATTTACTTGTTCATGTAGAATGAAGCGTATACCTCTTTGAGTTCGTCATTCTCTTTGGTGATCGTCACTGTCCTACAGTAAAACACCGTAGTGAGCTTCACTAATTACTACCCAGCCGATATTATTTATAAGCTGTGTGTAAGGTTGTGAGGAGTTGAAGCCAGTTTTGAGAGAGGAAAAGATGGAACTCTGTGGTCACACATACTACCCGATGTAACTGTGTGCTCATCTATTCAAGCATTCTAGCCCAATAAGAAATGACAATGTTGCTGCTGTCGGTTCGTTACCACATCCTTAAGTGTCTCGAACCAACCAGTGACAGGTTCTTTTGGATCCCAACCTGCAAGACGAGAATCACCTAGTCTACTTAATCGCTCGGTGCATTTCTTTATGCCTCGTTAACACGTCATTTGTTAACCTCCACGTGATTTCCCTTGATGTAAGGCAACAAATGCAAACAAGCGAAGCAATCCACCGTAGATAATTTCCGTCCTTCAGTGCCGAGGTATACGGTCACCAGTTTCGCATTAGCTCGCCAAGTGCTTGTGAGGCTTGTCTGCGTCGGGTGTATACTGAGAGCCAAAGATGAATAATGAGTGTACTGTCCAATAACCATTGACTAGGTTAGGAAGGGCATATCACTCAGGACAGCATCTCAGTACCACCAGTGTTAGCCTAGATGATATTATCTACAAGAAGAAGACAGGGACATTTGGATATCCGTCAGACACAAATGCCCCAGTCGTTCAATGGAGGTTCACTGATCGACTTGGGCTGTTCATTTGGGAGTCATAAATTCACTCTCTTCCTAACATTTATCGTGAGCAATTACACTTTCTCTTTTTTACATTCAGTAATCTATTGGTACTGTATTTTGCTTCGAAAAGTTCGTCGATTGCGTCATTGGTAACACTGTGATAATGTTAGGTTTAGCCACAACGAGAACAGCAGGGCAAGATTTCGGTGAAAATGTTTCAACCTTCTTGAAAGGTTTTCATCAAATCAATTTCCAAAATATACAGTAGTATTGTATAGTTTTTACGTGTGATCTTTCGTAGTACCGCAGTCATGAATGCTATATTGAAGTGGTGGGGTAAATGCTAAATACTAAACATCCCGCCCTATCGATTTTATCCATTGTTCTCAGGCTCCAATTACTGGACTGTTTGATAAAATCATTGGCCAAATCGAACGCCATGTAACTGCCATCTCGACACGTTTGCGCTCGACCACTGACCCAATGATTCGTTCTCTACGGTGTTTAATTGATGCGGTGCATTTGGCCAAAACCAATCGTGATGCTAATGTGGCGATGAACGTGATTGCTACCATGGTTCAAAGCTTTCTCGAACATTATCGACCAGGTTGTTGGCGTAACCAACCGCACGGCTTGGAGACGATGGAACACTTAAAAGAGGCACACATGCTCACTCTGCGACACATGCTTTCATCCGATCAAGCACCCTTTGGTTGTGCTTGGGTAACGAGTCAGGTAACTTGCTTTGTTCTTTCGTTTGACTCACGTAGTTTAGTGCTTATGGGCACTGAACTACACGAGTCAAATGAATGACGATCATTGCGTTATAAATGCAAATTAATGATTCCGTTCGTATATTTTGCTACTCACAAAATTGCACACTTATCCATAGTTTAATTTAAATATACGGTTTCTTTTCATTGAACAAACCATTCTCATTTATGCATGAGTCGGAACTCTATTTTGATCTACTTTCAGTTCACTCCTACTTTCCTTCATTTCTTGGGTGATATCTTCAATGCTATTTGATTATTAAACAAAAGTCGAATCAGCTCCATTAAGTGAGTCGAGAGCAACTATATCTAATCCAATGCATTCAGTTGCTAATACCACCGTTTGAATAACAGGTCGGCTATAATCCAGCGGACAATTATTGTTTTGTTTCCATTATTTTAACAAGGACGCCATATGCAAATAATTTGTCATTGGTTGTGGGTAAATACGTCAGTATACACACATGTACATCCGTAGACACACGAGTAGGTCGGCAAATCGAAAACGTTCAGCGAAGATATTGCATGCCATCGGAGTCTGGTCAAGCCCGGGGGACAAGCAGGCGATAGCACGAATACCGAAGTTTGAGTCACTGAAGCAACTGGATCTTAAATTAACTGCTTCTGCGTGTGCTCATGGTGGCAGTTGATGGCGGTCTACCAGTCAATAACACCATCATCAATGGTGGGGTTTTACCACCGGGTGAGATTCTTACGCCAAATCCAAAAAGAATTTCGGCTAAACGCCACCTTTCAACAGTAAGGTTCAGTTCCACACTGTCCATAGTTCTCAGTCAAATATCCAAATCATTTAGTTATTTCTGCCTTTGATGTTTGAATGATCTAACCGAAAAGTTCAAAATCGGGAATTTGATAGAGTTCGGCCTGTACAGCTTAATTCTATTTGGTCTTTTGGCATTTCCTCTAGTTCATGGCTGATAAAAGTCACTGATTCTGCGGTGAATGGAGACGTTAGTGTGCTGCCCTTTCATCAAGTCTGTTTATCCATCCGAAGATTTGGGCATTCCAAAGCAATCACATCCTCTTGTTGCTATCAGGAAAAATTGTCGGGTTTTATTCTTCGCCAGTAACTCCTGTAGTATCGATTCCGGTTGCTTCGTTTGGTTGTTCGGTATCCCTGTTGATTTCGGGATCGTCCTAATCCAATTTTCGTATTTTCTTTAAAATCTAATCAATAAATATGGGGATTTGGATTTGTGTTCTTGACTTCATTTTTCCAGTAAACACTGAAAGGACAAGAACAATAGAGCAGACGGGGAAAGAGCCAAAACCGCATTTGTCTTATTGTTTGAAACACAGTCCCACTTTGCTTTGAGTGAAGTTGATCATATACTCAAATGTTCTTTCTGTTCAGGTCACACAAACGTGGATTCGTCTTGATAGTGGGAATCCAAACACCGCCGATCGGCAAACACGGACATCGTCTGGTGCCTCGGCTTCAGGTTCCGCCACCAAAGAGAATTTACAACCGGAAGAAAATGTGTCAAGCGAGGCAAACAGAGATCAGTCCACGTGGTCGAGTGGCTGGAAGTCACAGGTAATGCTCAAGTAATTGGTTCATGAAAACATATTTCACTAGCCGCTGAAGTGCAGTTTGGAGCACAGCTGAGTCTTTTTGGTCAGAAGATGGCCTGGTAGAAGGTATGAGAACCGTGACCAGAGACCTCGTGTAGGTCGTGTTAGGATTCCGGTTTGAGTATCTGAAGCTCTGCTTAATCAGCGATCGAGGACATCGTCTAATATGACTGGGCTGCAAAGCCCAAGGAGGTTTTCCATACTCTCGCACTACCCAATGTGTGTTTCATTACCTCCGTATTGCTTTTAGTTTATCGTTTAACTTTACTGATCCCTTGTCAACCGAAAGGGATCAAAAACAGAACACGGAAACGCAAGGCCAATTATAGTGTGCATTGAAAATTGAACAATAGGAACCGCACATAAAACCTGAGTGGGAGTGTTGTTTTTGAGTATGGACACAATTCACATGGCGTTTCAATTCTCTGTTCATGCAAACTACATATGGATCGATTCAAACCTGCAAAATTGACTTCAATTTATATTTATTCCACTCTTTAGCCGGATGGCGCGTCTAACGAATCTGCAACCGCCGAACAAAACAAGCTGTGTTCAATCAAGTGGAACTGGGAAGCGTTTGCAGAACTACTCAAAGTTCATGTAGTATACTTATCTCAGGTACGTCTCTTTTTCTTGCAACAGACGGTGGTTTTCTAAAATTTCGCGAAAATTTCAAAGAATTCATATTTATTCACTATGCTGCGGTCCGCGTTCCATTCTTTCATCCTTTTGGCTTGTTACATTGTTTACAGGTCGACGCTTACTTGGCCAAGGAGGTTGCTGCTGGTCATCCCGGTGCAATTTCTTTTGTCATCGACTTACTTGACCACTTTGTCCTGCCCTGTCCTTCGGGCACTGCCGTGGGAGCTGCCGCTGCGGCAGCTGCGGTTGCCGCCGCAAACTACGTCCGCTCAGGTGCACCTTCATTGACCAACGGTCCTCAAGCAGGCACTGCGTCCACCGGACCGGCCTCAGGTCCAAGTGCTTCGGTGTCGACTGTCAGCCCGTCATCGAAGCGGGAGTTTACCGTCTTAAACGAATATGATTTATGGTCCACCCTGGAGGCGATGCGCGCCCGAGTTAGCACTCTGAACGCGGCTTTATCGGGTGGTTCCGTTGGAGCTGGTGCAGTGAGCCGATCCGTTGCTGCTAATCTGACAGATCCCTTGGCACTACGGCTACGGTTGGCTTGTGCACGGGTTAGAGGTCTGTTAGACCTTGGACTGTTAGAGCAATCACCGTTATTTATCACCCCACCCGGATGTACCCAGCCACCAATAAGTGCTTTATACGCCGGTTGCAGTCAGGCACGTGAATTCGACGATCCTCCAACACTGCAGGTACATTGTTTTTGTGTGCTCATAAGTGCCCTGTTCTGCATGTGTAATATATTTCACACACGTCTGGGTCCATAATGTGTGCCAAACAAATCATAGTACAATAAAAAAAAAGTTCTATGACTTACTCGTGGGCGTGATATTGCCAGGTTGCCCAGGCCAATGAGAGGGAATTTTCTTGGGGAATTCACATCCGGAGCCTTTGACTGGCTTCATCTGACCCGCAATTCATTGGGGGCCGGGGTCCAGCGCATCGGAGCATACGCTCTTTGGACGGTGTCAGACGTCCATGTCCAATACACCTCGATACTCAATCGAGCCGGTGACCACTGCCAAAAACCAGGACGGTGTGTTTGGTTCTCACACCTCGTCCTGGTTCGTTTGTAATCGGGATTTTTACCTAACCCCTAGGTGAACTGTCAATGGTTCACCGACGCGGTTATAGTTCAGAGTGTTGGCTGTTTGTCCTCTTGGTGGGAAAACACCGCCACCGGTAGACAATGAATAGGGCTGCCTGAAAAAAGGCTATCATGAGGTGCGAGGAAAGAGTGACTAGCCACAACTCGATACACCCACCCCCGACCATACTGAGACTTTCAGAGGCTAACCGGTGCATAATGTATTCGTGGCGTGTCAACTGAGCTAATTTTCCGCGTTATCTCATTGTGGAATGAACAAGACTTACTTCTCGCATGGTGAAAAACTACCTAAGCACTTGGTCTACTTCAAATACCTACCTCCATTTGTCATATGAACCACAGTAATGTTATTTGTTTCTTAAAATGTTTCATCGTTCTTTCCCTCGGACGGCGTTTCGTTCTTTGTGACCCTTTTTATAGTCACACAATGGCGCAAGCCCGTTATAACTGCTAATTTTTGGTTTTAATAGACCGTTCTGGTTAGTGGGTAATGTACGAGCTCGTGGTCAACCAAATCAATCGTCCTTGTCAGATTTCGAATCATGGCAAGTGTACAGCGGATGAAATCATTAGCGTTTTCGAAAATGTCTCTACAATCCTTAATCGAGAAAATCAGATCGTACAAAATATTCTCACAGTTGCTGGTTTTTTTACTCACGTGCCGCTACATCGTTCCACAGGGCTCATCTTATCTCATTCCCGTGACTTCTCGGTCTTGATGTTTTCAGGAAAAAGTGGAACTTCTAATGCGCAACTGGGTAGAGATATATCAGAGCATGAGACAACGTGATGCGAATACGATTGACGCTCTATTGACTCAACTTGTTCAAATAGGCGTGTTGGCAAATATGGACAATTTGACTCGGTTCCTGCGATTGGCTACCATTTTTGTGGTCGAGCGCGCCCTGAAGCAACTCAAATTGCAAGATCAACACCAACAACATGCCCTGCAGATGCCCCCGGTTGGAACCACTTTGAATTCTGGCATGTCAGTGAACCGTGTTGCAGCATACGTAGAGTTGGATGCTTATACTCGGCTGATCAGTATTGTAATCAAGCGCGGAGGTGTACAAACGGAACAACCAAATTTCAAGGTATCACGTTTTATTTATTCATGTTTCATACACCTTCTGCACTATTTTATGTATATTTCTATATCGTGATTAAGTATTTTTTCTTTGTGCTCACATTGAATCCATTGCGGTCACCGTGATTTATTTTACATGACTCCCGTGAATGTAGTTCTCACTTATTCACATTTCTTGTCTACTCTATGTGAATTTATGCTTATTTTTTGCTCCCATTCGCATTTTTTCAGGTTGTTCTGCTGAATAAGGTTCTCGGCATCATTGCGGGGATGTTACTCCAAGAGCATGAAGTTCGCCGAGACTGGTTCTACTCAATGCCCTTCGAGCGTATTCTGATCATGCTTTTTGTGGAGTTGCATCCCCCAACCACATTACCCGAACTAGAAGCTCTGCAGTCACCCGGGTTTGTTGCCGATGGTGTCGCTAGCGAACCAGTGTCCACAGTGAACGATGCCGCAGCCGGTAACAGTGGCGCTGGTGGAGATGCGTTTAAAGCGGATTCTTCAGCAGACAAAACACAGAGTGCCGACGTGCGCAGCATTATCAGTCGTAACTTGACTCTACAGCAACAACTTCCACTGATTTTCTGTCACGTCTTGCATTGCCTGCGCCCTGAGCGTGCATCGGCCTTCGTTTTTGCGTGGTTGGAAATGCTCGCTCATCGTTGGTTTGTTAGCCGCATTTTGGCTGCTCCCGGTCCACCAGGGCTTCGTGCTGCTTATCAGGCAATGTACGCTCAGCTCCTCGTGGATCTTCTCAAATTCTTGGGCTATTTCCTACAAAATGCTGTAATGGTGAAACCAATTCAGTGTCTGTACAAAGCCACTCTCCGCTTGTTCCTGGTCCTCATTCATGACTTCCCCGAATTCGTCTCGGACTACTATGCACTGTTCTGTGATGTAGTTCCTTCTAACTCCATCCAGCTGCGAAATTTAATCCTCTCGGCACTGCCCAAGCGTGGTATGCCTTCGGCTGACCCAGTTCAGGTGAGATTTCTTTCTTCAGTCTGTTTTCGACCACCTTGTGATTTTTTTAATTTGTACATGTCCACCAATATTTCCTACTACAGACTGACTTTGGGTTCTGTGGCATGTCTATTGGTTAAACAATTTCTCCATATTGAATACTTTTCGTTTTGCTGCACTTGTTCATACCTCACTTGTCTATGTTACAGGTCTTTTTGGAGCACCCGATTGACCTACATGATGTTTGTTTTTGAAAATCCTAAATGAAATTAGATTCCCAGCTTGCTTGATGATGACAATTAAATCGTGACAATAAACAGATTCCACTGCAAGCATTCAAGTTGGATGTTTTGGCATGCCACAGCGATAGTGGAGATGCGTTGTATAGCATAATAAAGAGATGTGTTATTTAGCAAAGTTAACCGGATGGATAGATTTAGTGTCGCGGGCTTCTTGTGATTCACCACTCCAATTTGGGAGTACCAGCTCCCAGGTTTTCGGGACCCAAATTTCTCCAGCCTTGGTACATAGCAGTGTGCTATAAAAAACAACTATTCAGGTCATTCCCCAACTGGCTATGTTTATCCGTCCCGTTTATCTTAAATTTCATCGTTTGGCCTCAATAAAGTTCCATAGTCCGACGCTTTACTTATCTACTCCTGATGATTTCCCTCGATTCTGTTGTCGAACGCCAGTTGTGCTTGACAGATCTGACTGGTCCACGGTTCATGCCCATTTTAGGCTCCTCCGGTCGACCATCTGGCTTCTTTGGACGATCCTACCGGTTATTGTATGGAAGCTGGGTCTCGTCTTCCGGAACCGATGCGGCGAGAATTAGATGCTTACCTAGCTAGTCGTGCTCCTGTGAAACTATTGAGCGAGCTAGTTACTATGCTTCGACGAGCGGACGATGTCTTACCCCCGTTTCCTCCACCGCAGTTTGCACATCATCCACAACAACAGGCTCGACATCAACAAGCTTTGGCCGCGTATGCAGCTGCCCTGGCAGCTAACGATATGACGTCGCTTCCAGGCCTAACCTCATCATCATCTAATACTAAAACCGCAGAGAAACAAACCAATGATGACACTTCCACAGGGACGGCTGGTACACAAACGAAAAAGTCAGGTACCGGAAAACATACAACTGAAGGAACTAACGAGTCTAGTGAGTCAAGTGCCACAATGGGTGCTACTACTGAGGACAACGTGATTTCTACCGCCCGTTCCGCCCAGAGCGCATCCTCGGGCACGTCGAGCGCCGCAGCAGCTGCATTACAATGGGGTGTTCGCGCAACCCAACAGCTCGCCACTTTTGGACTAGCTGACGGAATGCATTACAATGTGGAGCTAATGAACAACCTGACCCTATATGTCTGTATCACTGCGATCCGTAGTTTGCGCGAAAAAGGAATGCCGTTGAATATGAGCACCATCGCGCACACACCTCAAATGGACATCATCCAAAGTCTGGTCTTGAATCTGGACAACGAAGGTACGGGATGTTTTCTTTTATTGTAACGTATTTTATTGTTTTATCTGTCACAAATCTCCAGAGGAATTCAGCTGTTAGCAAGCCGTATTATTACTAGATGCATTTAATATCATACTATCTTCATCGTATTTTAATTCGCTGTGATTATGGGGATGATGAAAACAGTAAATGCATATATTCCAAAAGCTGTGGTCAGAAATGCCTAGAACTCGACAAGAACCCGTTACACTACACTCATCAAGGTAATTGTGGTTTCTACGGTGCCCCGTCCATTTTTACTGGATCATATCCGATCTGTCGACTGCCACTTTGTTCCGCCTCTACATTCTCGTTATTTATTGTCAAATTTTGACTTGATAATTCCACCGATTTCCTTTTGTAACATTCGTGTTTTTTCGTTCGTACATTCTCCGTTTTACAGGTCGCTATCTGTTACTGAACTGCATGGCGAATCAGTTGCGCTATCCCAACTCACATACATACTACTTCAGCTACACGATCCTCTATCTTTTCTCGGAACAATCCAAGGAGCAGGTGAAGGAACAAATTAGTCGTGTGTTGCTCGAACGACTAATTGTCAATCGTCCACACCCATGGGGTTTGCTCATGACCGGTGCAGAACTGTTACGCAATCCGGCCTATCGGTTCTGGGAGCACGAATTTGCTCGCTGTCATCCGGAGATTGAGCAGTGAGTTTTCAGTTCTCGAAGTGCCGGTGGTATCACTCCTTCAATGAAAGTTACTCGAAACAGCTATTTTACTCCACTTTTTCTGCGACTGCTTCTCATAATGGTTCGCGATTATCCGTCAACTGCATTGTTCGGTTTGGTGATTCAGGGTATGGATTGACTGAAATACGCCCGATCGCGTAAGCTCGTTCTCTCTAAGGT